ATATTTTATTTCCTTAAATAAAAGCTACGGAATTACCTAATATGATTAACATATATATGTAATTAATGATTATGAATAATACATATTTTTGTATCCTCTCTCTTTTTTGTTTAATTTTAAATTATTAAAATAAATTAAACAATCACATTTAAATATATAATAAAAAATTAATTTTTTTCTTATAGGTTATATTTTTAATTTTTTAAAACGACCATAAATAACTAAAAATAGTAAAGTCCCACATTGAAAATTTTATGATCAATGGTTTAACTTTGTTTTTTTTTCAAAGAAGATACAAATTATCATAAATCGTACGAATATGAAGTATCATTAGTAGATATTCATACTATAACTATATTAATTTAAAAATTTCAGTGAAAAGGTTTGAGGTTAGTAGATACAAATTATAGTATTCGAAAGATTTTTGTAGTTTGTTTTATTTGCTTATTTTTTTTAATATCTTTTAGTTTGTTTAGATAATTTAACTAAGTTTAAATTAGATTTATTAATAGTTTAAATATTTTGATTTTTTTTGTCAACTTTTAATGTTTAACAAATATTTTTTGGGATGATTTCAGATATTGGTTATAATTCAATCCAAACTGAATTGAGATCCAATTCGATAATTAGTAAAATTCAAATAGGATTTATGAGAATAATACCAAAATCTAAAAATACGTGTCAATCAAACTAAAACCGACGAAATCTAAAAAACGTTCAGACCTATGATGATTTAAGATACCAACATTTGTATTCATCATTTTATAATCGATAAATACTGTAGTATTGCAAAATGTTAAAAACCATTTAATGAATAAATATAAGTATAAAAATTTCACCCCGCGCGCATGTGCGGGGTTATCATCTAGTAAATAATTAAAATAAGTGTAAGGCTATCTTTGATAAGTCTTCAATAAAAAAATAATGTGATCAGAATATCTTTGATAATGCTATCAATCATAGATTTCATGTGAGTCATGACCAATGTCTTGAGTAATTCTGATTAATGCTAAGTTCTTTTCTTTGTCATTTGACTAATGGCTTCAAGAACATATACCAAGTTCAGAGAACACAGTAAACTAAAAATTATATAAAAAGAACTCATTGATATACCAAAGATATACCAAAGAACTCATTGAGCACACTCTCAAGCGTATTCCCATCAGGCAAATAGATATATATACTCATCAACATCAAAAAAGAAATCCAATTCGCAGCGTGACGATACCTATGCAAACAATCATTAACACTCAAGAACTGATTATAATAATAACCATCATAACTAGGATGAATCCAATGAAATAAAATAAAAAAGTTGTTTGTAGTGGTATTGCTTGTTTTTCAAGGATATCTGCACATGTGTTAGAATTTTGATTCGTCCAAAGATATTGGATGTCTTGAAACTTGCTTCCCCATCGCTATTTGTCCCTCAGCCAGTCTAGCAAACAAACAAATTGACATTTAAATCAAACAAAACATAATATATTACAATCACTATTCTTTCGAAGGACTAGAATGACATTAAAACATGAGTGACAAGTCTTGGATTACATTAATGGAAAAGGGAACAATATATAGTAGATAGTAAATACAAGCATAACCCACACAATAGTAACTACAAGCATAACCCACACAGGCTAATTATTATTATTACTACTAGATCCTTTTTCCGCGCTACGCGCGGATAGTTTACTTGAAAGATCTGTCGAGTAATGAATAATATTCATGCATGATGTAAAATGTAAAGAACATATAAGTTGATAAAAGAAATTAAGTTGCAGGTATTGTATTTGTTAAACCATCTGGCTTGAGTTGATGGTGGTATTTGACTTTATCTTTAAAATTTTATGAAGCTCTGATCGATATTAACGATATTCTTATTGAAATAGAAACTTGTTCTTTGAGTAGATGAATACCAGTTTTTCTAATATTTTGCCAAAAACTTGCTCCTCTGTGTTGCTCACAGAACTCCATAAGCATGAAGCCATGAACCATTTCCTTCATACCCACACACTCTTCATTTTCCTCGCTCCCATCTCCATAACCCAGCTGTTGCAGCCTGTTCTGATTCTCCCTAATGTCGATGTCCCATTTTTTAGCGTCATAAAGACTCATTACTGACAGAAGCAATCGATAACCGAAGATATTTTACGACTATAAAAATCGATGGCAAATCCAGGTCCCAAACATATCTCACCATATCGTTCGAATTTAGCTCTTATATCTATTAGTTTTTATTACTCTTTCAAAAAAGTTATGATTTGATTGTGTAATAATCACTGTTATGTTTTTTTTAACAATATTTATGTGAAAAATTTTAAGATTGAGATAGGTAACCACAAAAAGGAAAAGAATATCCATGATACTTTTTTTGTTTTTATTTCCATTGGTCGGTTTTAATGAAATGTCAAAAAAAAAATATAAAAGGATTTTATTTTTCTCGTTCTTATAAATATTTTCTTGTTTTTTGTAGCTTTAAATATTGGATTAGACCATGTAAAATGTAAATAAACTCTTATTTGTTAATTATTGTATTTACCAAATTCAAGTTCTATATTAATTTATCACAAAAAAATTTTGTCTTATATTTTTAAAAATATTTTATAAAATATTTATTTTTATCAAATAAGATATTTGTTTTGATTATTTACTTAAGCCCCATACTTTACTTTTCCTGCAATGAATGAACGAATATTCTCAAAAAGATAAAATCAATTAATTTCATTTTGATCTATCATATTTTTCACTATTCAAAAAAAAAAAAAAATCAATGAACTACTGATCTATATCACGTGTTCAAGCAGAAGCGATCAACAGTTCTAAAGCATAGTTTTCTATTCTCACTGAAAGAAATTCCCAAAATCATATCTAAAGATCTTTTCACTATATGGTTTATCATGAACTGTCCAGAAACGTAATTTTAACAATACGAAACTTGTAGGAAAAAAATAACAGAATATATATGTTGAAGGCTTTGCGTTAATGTGGATATCAGCACAAAATAGAAATACAGATTTCTTAAAAGGCCACATCAAAGAGAAACTTCTCTCCCAACCTCCTGGTCATAATCATGAGAAATGAAAAACCGTTTTACATATTGCCTTATGTTCTTTGTATTCTGATTAACTATTTAATTTTCTTGTCCATACATATACTTTTCATAAACAAAGAAATGAAGCGAATCAACAGCTGATAAAGAAGAAGTCAGCACCCCGAACATAATTTTTCATATTATAATATCAGATATTATTTAACTGCTGGAGTAATCCAGGGAAAAGTCTTCTAATTGATGGTTGGATCCCAATCTACATACTTCCATGTTTGAAATAACACGATCAGATCAGATGTTGACTCACCAGATTGCAAACGGAGAAAGCCAAAGTGGCTTACATCAGAAGAGATCTATCTAGCAACCATCATGTCTGAAAGTTTAAACGCCAAATGTTTATTACTAACATGACCTACGACTCCCACAGAGAGAAAATGTGCCGTAGAACAACAGTATTCTTGATAGTTTTGTGGAAACAATGAATGCTGCTTTACAGATCATGCCTAATAAAGAATGCAACATTCTCCTTCTACCTTGATAGCCTTCCTAAATAATACAATCGCGTATGCTTTCCTATGTGGTAAACAGTTGCTCTGGATCTGTTTCAAAGAGAAGGTTATTAAGAAACATTAAGGGTCAAGTGTTATTCTCCTGCATCAGTTTGTTTAATTGGATTCAGCTCACCAGCAAACTTCAAACGGGAGTGAGAAGTTTTTGATCTAAATTCTTCTGTTTGAAAACATGAGACCGGAGAAAATGAAACCCAGAAAGTGAGCCTATGAAGTGATTAGGAAGGAACTCAGACAATAAATGACCAATGGGAGAAGAAAGAGTTGATGATAATGTTCAGTTTAAAAACTACCTTTTCGTTTTCATGGAGAAGGCTCCTCCAACGTGTTTGCTTTTGATTTCTACTACGATCTGTAAAAATAGTTATAAATATGTATATAGATGCTTAACTTAAAATTAAATTAAATTTACAACCAGCTGGACCAGTGTGAACATTGACCTAATTGCAATGTCAAGTCAATGTTCGGTTTGATATTCAAAAAACTGATGGCAATGATAAATTAATATCATCCAGTTTATAAATAAATAGAATAAATAAACATTATTTATCACAAAAAAATATATACAATCTCAAATTTTTATAATATCATTTTAAATTTAAATAAAATTCAATCCATTTTATATACTTAATTTTTATAATATAATAGTTATTATTTTTTACCAACATTTTGAAGATAGAAAATATAAAACTACAGATTAAAATATTACAGTAATTATTATGTAAGTTATTTATAACGAAAATAAAATGAGTGTTTTGTTAAAAAACATAAAAAACTATATTTCGTAAGAAATTGTTCATTATTACAATTACTTATGAAACTCTTACTTGTATTAACTACAATGATTTTGGCAATCATTATTTTTTTATTTAATTTAATATTCTATTTCTTATGTTTTTAATTATAAGTTTAATTATATAATATATTTTATATATAAACAAGATTATTAGAATTTTGATTAAGAGACTAGCCGCGCGTAGCGCGGCCAAAAAATCTAGTACCATTAATTTGTTATGGTTGTTTCCCCTATTATAATTTGTATGGTTTATTGATGCAAATTTCAACACTAAGTAGAAGGGTTAAAAGATTTTAAAAAATAAAAGTACAAGAAAACGAAAGCATACATCATAGGTACACACGTAATTAACCAAACAAACTACCGTTAAATTACAAATTAAAATACCAAAGAAGAAAATATTTTCTTAAGACAAGAAAGAACTCTTTGGTCTCTGTCTCAGCAACAAAGACAACTTGGAAACTACCAAAAGATAGAAACCCTAGAAACTGAAAAACCAAACATCCCCATATAGTGAAAGTGAAACACGTGATGACATAAACTTTGATATATACTAATATTGTTTATTTGTTATTATGGTATAGATCTAGACCAAAGGAGTGTCGAGTAAACCATTATTCAAAGATGAAGTCATTCCATTCCAGCTTTCTTTTCCAGGATCAATCACCGGTACAACTCCGGCTGAATCTCCGGTCATCTGCCATGGGAACCCCCATAAGAACTTACTCGGATTCTCTGAGATAATGTTGTTGATGTTCACATTCTCTTGCTTTCTCTCTTTTTGCCCCAAAGAGGAACTCTTGCTTTCATTCTCGTTTCCAGGCATAAACCCATAACACAAAGTACCATTGTTGAAATTACTGTTGTGCCCTCTGAAGATCCATCCGTTTCCGAACACATCAGAATTTGCGTTCGTCGAGTTCCCATAAATAGAAAGATCGCCACCGAACCCGAGAGCAGGAGTAACCTGAGAGGAGGGATGCTTATGAAGAGTAGCGAAAGCAAGGTTGAGATCAATAGAGTCATAACCATAGGAGGATGGCGTTCCCGTAATTAAAGGGTTGTAAAGTGGGTCATTATGGAAATTAATTGGCTTAGTGTTGTTCTTGGAGAAAGATGAGGAAGTAGAAGGTCGTTTGTTTCGACGGCAACCACCACCAACAGGGACGTTACGGAGAGTACCACCTTTAGTCCAGTATCTCCGACAAGATTTGCAGAAGAAACGAGGTTGAGAGAGACTATAGTTGTTGTAGTAACAAAACTTTGTGTTTGGAGATTCACATCTCGGACACTTTTGAGCTTCACCTTCCAAGTCTCCTCTTCCTTGTTTCTTCTTCTTCGTTTCCTCTTCCATTATCTTATTGTTATCATAATTGCTTCCTTTTGTTGAGCATGCCAGTATGGTTTCCAGTGTCTCGTTTGAGATTTCCTGCACATTCAAGCAATTTTAATTAAATTCTGAAAAGTGTGTAAATGTGTAATGATGATTCTCTTTTACCGAAATAGTTCTTGTTATACCCTCTTTGCTAAAAGACAATTTTTGCTCTCTTTTAACGAGTTTTTAGATAAGGTTATGTCATGACGAATTTTATATGTTCTACGAACAAAAGTTGAAAAAGAAGTTTCCATATTGTTTGATTTTGTGTGATGGAAGAAAAGAGCTCAAAATTATAAACATAAAACATGTTTCATATAATTTCAAAATGAAAGAACAATATTACCTGTTGAAGATCCATCCATGCAACAAAGTACTGATGAACGATTACTCAGTTTCCAAGTGATAATAAGAAAATATGGTCGTTATTTTTCTCAGATTCAAAGAACGGGAGAGAGAGAGAAAGAAAGAGAGTTTGCAGAAAAATGGTGAGCAAGATATGAATAAGGAGAAAGGCACGGTTCTTAATATATAAAGCAAAACTGATGAAGTGGGTCCTATAAAAGTATGGTTTTTTCTCTTCTCGTGGCTAGCTACTTGCTATTTTTTTGCTCGTGGTATTTCCACATTAAAGCAATACATTCTGGCTCAAGTCTTCAACAGTTAGAGCACCCTCATCAAGGGATGATTGGGGAGTTCACACGCCAACCAAGAAAAAAAATAATATGAAAATCAGATTTCTATAAACCTCTCTCTTAAAAGTTCACCGCAGTGAACCCCGATGACTCCGGGTTCACCACGTGTCAGCATATGATTAGTCCATTATTAATTTTTTTTTATAGTAAACGAAAATTAAAAAAAAATATTTTTTTATTTGTGTGAACCCCCAAAGGGAGGTTCATCAATGTGGATGCTCTTACAAGTTAGTTATCAATTTTATTAATATCTTCTGGTTCAAATTAGAGTTTTTTGGTGTAAATATTAAAATCTATATCATTTTTTATGTTTTACATTGTTACAAAGCAACTTACTACAAAGAGCATAAAATAAAGAGAGAGACGATCTTATATCTTAACTATTTTTGGGGTGTAAATTAGATTTCTAACATCATAATATATCTCACTTTTTTCATATATAATATATCTTATTTAAAATAGAAATTTATGTATTTGTTAGACACTGGAATAGATTAAAAATCTAACTTAACAACATAAATTATTAAAAAGGTATAACCAAATTATGTTAAATGAATCGAGGCCCTATCACTTTGAGTATAGGTAGGCACGACGCGAATGTCTGGAATTTGAGGGATATATGTGATCTGATCCGCCATGCACGAATATTTATTTATTAATTCAATTCAATATATTACTTTCGGATATTCGGTATTTTGGATATCCAAAAAATAACTATTTTACTGGATATCCATTGTGATTTGTAAATAATAATTAAAATTTTGAAAAATTAAAAAAAAAAATCGCCATAATATTTTTACTGCAGTTGTTTTAAAAAGTTACATACTTTAAAAAAAATAATAACTAAATAACTATTTTAGTTTATAAAAATATTATAAAACTTATATAAAGTTATAAATATTATATGATTTTTTATATAGTTTTATACACATGCATATGTATATAACGGATTGAACCGTATAACCATTTTTCAAATGTGAGTATTTGTGATTTGTTTTTGACAGATATTAAATTTTGGCATTTATTTTGATTTGTAATATCATGGATATCGAATTTTTTTGGATCAAATTGAAATAAATAACAAATGAATCAAATTTTATGGATATTTTGCTCACCCCTAACTCTGAGATTAAGCTAAAAGAAAAGTATTGGATGAATCTATGAGAATATAGAAAGACTGAAGAACGCCAGGAACCAAAGGATATAGATCCGCCATCTCTCAACCATTTTTTTCTAGTTGACAAGAAAGATAGCTAAACATTCTCTCGCTTTTATAATAAAACTCTATTTAAAGCATTTAATATAAAAAGGTGTAATTAAGAAATACCTAGAATAGTCTATATACTTTTATATGTACCACTAAGATGCATTATTTATAAGATTTTCAAAATCTATCTATTCACTCCAAAATTGATCTAACACTATGACAAATGAACGGTGTTGTATGATAATAAAGCAATCGACAAAAAAGAATGATAATAAAGCAAAAACATATAAGAGAGATATTTCGTCGTACACATAGTATAATATATAATTAAATTATGTGCATCGAGGTCAAGAACCTGGCGTGGTTTCAACTATACATGTGGCCCCTATCACACACCAATAGCTACCATCACCATCAACCACCCCAGCCCCATTCTCAATTCAAATTCTATACCATTTATTCTCTCTTATGTCTATCCCTATATATATATATTTATATTTGTATATTAGGCTTAAGTGTATGTAATTATAGGAACCATTCAGAAAACACTAAATGACTAAATGCGTTCTTAAAAATAAATATTTCTTTGAATTTAAACTTTAGTTTATAGAGTTTATAATTGAATTGTTTTTTTTTAACACAAATTTAAATTTCAGGATCTAATGATTTAAGTGTTACTATTTTGTATAAATTTTTAATATCATAGTATGTTAATTTTGGTACAAATTATAATATATAAAATATTGACGAATAAACCGTCCTACAAACTCACAACATAAAAATGGATAGTCTTGCATGAGGTATGGAGAATAAAGAATCTTATCTTGCTCATATTAATACGGAGACACTAATTAGATTAGTAGATTCTTAATCAAATCTGTTTAAATTAATGACAAAAAAAACACAAGTGAAAAGATTGTAAAATTTGTTGAAAATAAAAATTATGAAATTAATTAGAATTTGAAAAAAAAATTAAAATTTCTAATTTTTTTATAATATTTTGTTTTGCATATCAAATCCTAGCATACAAAACGAATTTACGCTATTATTAGTGTGATATTTTAAATTTTTATAGATAATTAGCTCTATTTCTAAAGCTCAGAATGAGTAATCTTTATTCAGATTGATGATCACGGGTTTATTCTTATGGATTCACGAACCCATCGTCAATAGTATAGCACAGTTTCTACACTTATACTTCTGCTTGCCATAAATATAGACGATATATGCGAGGTTGTGCAAACTCATCTACATACGTTATGAAAAGTACTCGAACCAGTCTCAGTAATCATCTGTCTCGAGACACTTCAACATTTTAGGAAGAAAATGACATAAATGTCAGATATCGCGGAAAATATTAAACAAAAGAAAGAATGATTGCAATGTTTTTAATCTATGTTAACAATAATAAAATAGAGCCAGGAAATGAGAAAATGAGAGAGCAGTATCTATCGAGGGAAAAGGAATCGGATGCGGCACGGCTGTACAACTATACGGTCTTCGTCGCGTTGCGCGTGGGGGCCAATTTTGATTTTGTTTTTTTTTTTTTCATTCCAATTTATGTCATTATCGTAATGAACTTTTTCGTAAGTTTTTCATATATTAAAACAGAAAATTGTTTGGTCATATATATAATACAATAACTGTTTGCACAATCAGTGACTTGCATGTTATTTGTTTCATCATGAGTCAATGACAGTAGTGGCTTACTTACTGGCTTCGTTATATATTCTTTTCTTCTCTCAGAAGACTACTCAGACTAAAATATTGGAACTTCACACGCTCTTGATTTTAAAAAGCTATCATTCCATTTTATGTTAAGTTTTAATCCCATAACATTTCGAAAAAATAGTACTTATTTTGGGTATCAGCTTTTCGTTTATTCAATATTTTTTTACACATGTTCAATATATACTATTCATATAATTTAAACTGTTGTGAGTTAGACCGAGTAAACATTAACATTTTTTACTAAAATTTGTTGCTGGAAACTTATTTTACTTAATGACTAACGAGTTATATACAATGGTTATTAATTTTATATTGTAATAGTCTGGAAAGGTAAGTACCTTGAAAGTAATGATGATGGAGGAGGGGTGGGGTGGGGTCTATGATGGATCGGATACAGAAGATTACGAAGCTGGAGACTGGTCCTTCACACCATCCAGTTTGCTTTCTAGTTTCCTACCGTATCCTACTATAACATGCATGGCAAATAATAAAGTGAAGGAAAATTACATTCCCAAATTCACTACGCATTTAGGCTAGCCACGTTAATAATTTATCATTGTTGCACGGTTTAACCAAATTATACAATACTAATTAAAAATTCAATATCCATTTTTTTTAACCCAGCTTTATAATTTAAAAATAATCAAATGAAATGATGACAAAAGTTTTTTTTTTGTCATCGATCAATATTATTAACATAAGCTGAAATACACATGAGCGGGAGAATCATCTAATTATATAATATTATAAAACATCATCAGATCAAGTAACTATAAGTTTGAATACACATGCATCGTTAAACTGTTAATTCGATAAATGAATAAGTGAAGTTTAGGTTTGTAACAATCCAAGTTCTTTGTGGATTTTAGGCCAATTCACCCTTCTTTTTATAGCTAGACAACTAGTACTCTACACTAGATTGGTGGTTTACATGTGCTCTTTAGCTCTACGATGATCATAAGTATATCAATCTAAAGTGGTGACACCACATTAGCATAGCCTCATCTTTTACTTACTTTACTTATATTTTCCTTCCCGTTTATATCAACTTCTTAATCATACATTAAAAGATACATGACGTGTGCGAATTATATATATCAAGCCCTTTTACTGTTGACATAATAAAAACTAGACCATGACCCGCCCGACCGGGCGGGTGTTTTGTTTTCTTTTATTTTTTAAGTTTATACTAAATGATGTAAAATAAAAAATGAAGTATCAATTAAATGGTTAAAAATTACTTATGAGTTTAATTTTGATAGAAGAATACCGAAAGTTTGTTGTTTGATCCGCGCAAATGTTTGTTTTTATATATTTTATAAGTGATAATATATATTTCTAAATTT